ATTTGAAAGAATGTGTTCAAAATTCTTTTTTTTCAGGATTTTAAAAGTTAGTTCTAAAACTGCAGACTAGAAGATATTTAATAAAATGTTTAAAAAATGAAAGTAGAATTAAAAATACAAATACTCACTTTCATGTTAGGTGTGGCTCTAACGTGCCGATTTTGGGTGTAGAGCTAAACGCCAAATTATATTTGTGGACTCGTCATTGATTTGATAAGAATGTAAATTTATAAATCGGTTATTAGGATTGATAATGATGGTGTGATCATAGTGGTCGAACAAGTTAATAAAATTGTGAATTTAGAAGATAGTGTGAGGTATTTTTAAGTTATAAGTGATAAGTACTGTAGATAATGTAAGTCTAATAGAAAACGAATTATCATATAATTTTGTCAAAGATACGATTAGGCCTTTATATATGAAGCATTTGAAGTTTGTCAACCAACGATGTGTGCAATGCAACCATTGATAATTTATTATATTGTGCAGAAGTGGTATGAAAAACAAATTAAAAAATAACGGGGGGGGGGGGGGAAATTAATAGATTAGCTGTTTAGCTTGGATACCTATAGTGACATAAAAGAAATGCGAATTTCCAAGCCGTTTGATAAACAAAATGGTTTCCTAGAACTTGTTGATAGTAAGAATGGTCTGTTATGGATGGAATAAGTACTTATTTAAAGGGCTTAATTCATGTTATCCCGTATCAAGAGATAGTTGAATTTTGTAGAAAATAAATAGAGGTCCTAACATTATTGTGTAGAGAAATGATGTGGCAAATAGCTAAAGTATTCATTATTTTGCTTAATCAAAATTTTACCAAATATAACGACACTTAGACTCACTTCTGGTGTAATTATCCTACTAGTCCATGATGGTATACCATACAATTATAAAAAATTTGAGGTTATTATAAAAAACAAAGAACCTGTAGATTTATTTAAATGCACAATAAGGCAATGTTTGTTTTTGTTTGTTTAAAGATATTGGGAAAGCTCTAATTCCTTTTCCTTTACTGGTCTAGTGTAGCGTAATTATCCGAAAAAATTCAGTAATAATTAGAAATGGTTTAGTGACAATTGTCAATTGTGAAAATTGTACCAATAGACAAGAATGGGTATATCCATCAAATAGGAAGGTAAAATACAGTTTTTTCGAAGTATGAATTTTACAGTATGAAAACAGGTATGTGAAACCCGACAAAGAGGCGAAAACCATCTAACGGAGAGCTGCTCGTAGACAGAACAAATGAAGATACTGTCTACTCTTGGGGTGTCATGTGTATAGGGCTGAAGCTGGAGGACCCCAGTAATGACGAGAGGGCTGGAGGGAGCGCAACCTCCGTCTTCAGAAAGCTCACCAACAAAACAACAATCTAAGTAGACTAGTCTGTGCCATGCAGTCACAAGGGAGTAGAAAGGCTTCGAACAATATTTGCAATGACCCAGATGTTACAGTAGATCCACACAGAGAGCAACCTTTGTTCCTATCTTGAATTAGGAGGAGCCAGAAACTGTTTTTTTGGTATTAGCAGACTGGCCTGCTGTTTTCAGCTGTTCCTGTCTCAACCGTCTCATCCGAACAAACATTTGTGCAAAGGAAAGAAGGTTTATGAAAGAGCGGCTAAACTGTTCACGACCCAAATGATTTGAAGTCTCACATGTCTCGAGTTGGGAACGGTGTTGCGGCCCATCAAAGGTCCTACGAGGGTTGTCTACGATGAGTTGTTAATAGGAATAAATTATCAATTGTGTAGAAGAGATGATGCGAGGATGGGAGCAGTCACTAGTGAAACCACTCCACAGTTTCGAGTTGTTTGGTAATTGGTAAATTGCTAGACTTTGTAAGGAATTGTCAATTATTGCACTTTAATTGTTCTTTGCCAGTTTTTGTCCTCTGGGGTTTTCTTGTGAGGGGTTTTTAACGAGATCAATAATATTAGTAATGTCTTATTGTATTTTTTATAATGGAATAAATGGTTGATTATGTCTTAAGATATTACAATATTTAAAATTGTATTAACATTATGGAATGAGTTACAAAAAAAAAAAAAATTTAATTTAGCATCATTGATATTTGAAAAGAAATCTAACAATAACTCAAAACATTCATTTACTTCATTTTAAAATTGTTAAGTTTTACTTTGAAAAAGTAATTTAAACATAACTTAAACAAAAATAAACAAAAAAAAAGCAAAAGCAGGTACACCGGCCCAATCTAAGGGTTAGGGGTTGAGTCCGGGTTGGACCCGCCAATTCCCAAACATTGATGGGCCTAACCCGGACCGCCATGTTACCGGGGTCAGGACCGACCCGCCATTATCAGCAACCTGCCACGAGCCGGGTCGGGTCGGGGCGGTGGTTTGGGGGCGGGTGCTTTTCCCCTCTAGTGACAAATAGAAAAAATGTTACAAGATTGACAGAACATTAAATAGGAAATAAAGTGAGTTGAATGACATCATCACACTATATGTTTTAATGCACCTTGTCAGCGCATCCGCATTAGTTTCCCACAACCAATAAGAAACAACACAAACAGATGAGATATAGCTTGCTTAATGGCTCCATATATTGTTTTCCCAAGGGCACATAAGATTGCTAGTTATACTAATAACTATTTAACTACCAAGTCCAGGTGGAGAAAGATGATGAATTCTAGTGCTAGCAAAAATATGCTTAATTGTAAAGGAAGGGCAGAAATCATAAGAAGGTGATACTGTGAATCATGACGAATGTATACAAAGCAAAAACATAACAGATTAAATTTCTTATCTATGTAAAAATACTTCTCATATGCAAATTCAATACGGTTTCTGTAAGATCCACACAAAAACATGTTTCTTAGTTCTAGCTCCTTCTCACCAATTATGAATAAAACTCAATAGAGAAACATAAAACTTCACCATCCTCGTTACATATATATAGCGAATATGAGAAATGAATCAAATATCTCAATCTCAAAGCTTAAGAATGGTATTGGCACAGTGATTGCTAAAGAAAAACAAGTTGGTCGAAGGCCTAACTTTATAAATTGAAATGATTTTCTAGAGATCCTGCTTCTCATATCATACCAAAGTTGGTTCAATCCCCTGCAAATGACCAAAACTCCACAAGTGTTAAATTTAAAAAAAAAAAGAGGAAAAAGATTAAAAAAGCGTAGAAAATAGATAAATGTAATAAAAGAGAACACACACCGTCTCAAAATATCAATGTGCCCTTGAAGGAGAGAGATCCATAGCTTCTAAGACAAAATCATCCAATAACTCCGCAAATTAATGAACTCAGGAAGGCAAACTGGAACTGACACTCGCAATCAAAAATTTGTGGGAGGCTTATTGGTGAAGAGCTGGACTGAACACCTAGTATGGATAATTCACCCAATAATTATGGCCGCCAAAGAGCAAATGTAAAGCCAAAACCCGAACCAAGGTCAAAATTAGTCACGCTTCTTCTTTTCTTCCCAGTCTGCCCGCTCATCCCATCAATTCAAATATCCCTAGAAACCATGACTGAGTGAAATTCGAATACAGAAAGTTTTAGTGACATTATTTCACAGAAAAATGTGTTATGCTTTACACATCTAAAAACCCAAAGGAAAATTCATCAATGAGGAAATCAAATACAGAACATTATGCCTCTCCACCATTTTTTGCTCTAAATACAATACTAGCTACTAAATGATGGTTAAAATCGCAACATTTTACATGTATAAAATGTTTCTGAACACGGCAGAAATATCCTGATAGAAAAATTTCCATAAAAGATACACGGCATAACCTCTGCAAAAGAACAATATAATCAGTACAGAAATGAACAGTAGAGCTACCATATGTTATGGCAGCACTCTGACATAGATTCATATGTATTGTTTCATTTTTAAAATGTGTAGGACGCTGAGTAGTGAATGTACCTTTAGGCTTTTCCCCGTAATTTTTAGGTCCATAGCACATCCAATTTGTATTTGTGCTAAGGGCAACAGTTGACTTTGTACAAATATGGAACAGGAAACAAATGAAAATCAATAGCCCATCAGATTCTGTCTTTTAGAGTAATGACAATGTAACATATCATTGAAAATATACATTATAATGATGACACTCACTGGTTGGTGAGCAATCAACAAACTGGCGTAGTATCCACTCCCTTATTGTCTCAGTCTGCAACTCAACTCCCACTAGCTCAATCGAAAAATTGGGAGTCAAGAACATTCTTCCAAGTTCTAACTAGCCATGAAAACTTAGTGATATGGATATACCAAGCACACAAGCATACTGACCAAAATATTAAATAAAAACAATATCAGACCTAAAACAACAGTAAATAATATCAGAACACTTCTAAAATATGTCAACTAGATCTCACCCTTAGCATAGAAGAAGATCATCTCATCTGCACAAGAGCCTTTTATGAATTTATCAATACATGAAGTGGTTCCATGAGAAGAATGTGAAGCTTTCAAAGTCATTTAGATTAGTATAGGACTGGAAGGGGAATGTGCAGTTGCTGCAGATCCATTTTATAGTTTATAATAGTCTTGATAAGATCTCTATCTTGTTACCTCACTTGTCCAGGTATCCACAAAAATAATGTAAAGAGAAGCAATATGATTTCCAACAATAAGGAAGAAGATTAACATGAATTTTATATGACTTCAATAAAGGTTAAAATGCAACTAAACCAAATAGTTTGGATATAGCATTCTTTCTCATTTGATGGTGGGTAAATGATCGTTTTTTAGAATAACAATCATTAAACAGATTTCACAGATTGTTTATGAAAAATTACTCAATATCTATAGAGTGCCCAATGTTTAAAGAAGAGGTATACTCAAAAAATATTGAAAATTGAAAAATCATCAGCAAGCAAAGAAGAGGTAATAGAATTAATCATATAATTTTAGTTTCAGAATTTTCTTTTTTTTTTTTAAGCAAAAATGAGCACTAGTAGATTATTTTAGTTCATACATCTTAAACTGAAAATAAAAAGTTATACATACCCTGCTCATTCTGATTGGAACAAGAATCTTCTGCTTACATGGTTGAAGACTTCACTTAAGTTGGTGTTTCTTGACAGAATTATCATCCCACAAACTCAGACAGCTTAAATTATCAAGACACAATTAGGAAACTTCCAGCAGCAAAGTGGTATTGTCTACTCGCTAATAGATATTATAAGGAAACACTAACGATTACGAACAAATTGATATAATCTCACAAAGAAAAGTGGTAACGATACAGTAGTACCTTGATATATTGTTGTAATGAAAAAAAATTGGAGCAGAGAATATGCACCAGTCATATGAACTCCAGCAGTAAGGTCAAAGTAAGCACAAGTACTCTTCTTAAATGATTTAGAAACTTAAAGACTAGCTGACATTATTTTCAAAAAATGGTCTTCTGCTTTACAAATCTAAAACCCAGAAAAAGAAATATTCAATCTATGAGGAAACCAAATTACAAGGACAAGATGCTTTTCCACCATTTTTGCTCTCAAAATACAATACTAATACATTCAATTTATTTTCGTAGACACTTGTTGCCCTTGCCTGCAAATACAATGTACCAACATCATTTACCTGAAAAGAAATTTCATTAAAATTTAAACCAAATAACGGGCTGTAAAAAAAAAAAAAAAAAATCAAATTAAAACAAAGAACATCACATCCCAGAAACAATACTTACCAATAGATCCAACAAGGAATATTTACCATCATTCTAGATGCACATTGCTTCACTTTGTAGGTCTTATCTGCAAAACAAAGTTTGCTGTTTCAAGCACCAATATCAATATTTATCCCAAAAATTGTCCACAATCATCAAGACCTCTCATCTCCTCAAAGTTGCAAAATAATTGACAGGAAAATAAATTTCAAATTAGAACAAGGCCCAGAGTTTAAATATCAGGATTCTAACCACTAATACCAGAAGAATGCAACACCCAGATACCCAAAGGCCAAAATCCCTTATATTTTCTTCAGTTAAATTATTGATTTAAAATTTTTTTACTAATTAAATAATAATTTAAATCCTTCCAATTGGCTGCCCGCCCCCCTAGTAGGAACTATACCCAAAATACCCTCATATTTTTGGTGCTAAATTATAGATTTTAAATTCAAAAATAAATCCGAAAATAAGTAAATAAAGAAAATAATATTCCTCCAACGGCTCTTTTAGGAGCCGACTCAAACTAGTATATAACTGCCTCTGCCTCTGTCCCGCCCATTCCCTTATTTCCAAATTCCCCCCAATCTCTTTATTTCTCTCCAAGATTTTCTCTAACGTTTACCTCCTCTGCAATCATGTCGCTAACTCTTCCTCCTGGCTATAGGTTCGTTCCTTCTGATGCTGAATTGATTGGCTTCTATCTCTACAACAGGGTACATAATTTACCTTTTCCCTGTGATAGCGTTCTAGAATGTGACCTCTATGGCATTCTAGAACCCTGGCAAATTTGGGAAATGTATGAAGGCCCCAAATTGTGTAAGCAAGATCTCTACTTTTTCACCCCATTAAAGAAAATATCCAAGAAGGGTTCAAAGATTTGCAGGAGGGTCGGTTCTGGAACGTGGAAGGGGGAAGATGGAGAAACAGAAATAAAAGATGAAATTACCCACATGAAAATTGGGTCCAGGAAAAGGTTCCGATATGAGAATAAAGGCTCGGAACACCATGCGGGTTGGATAATGCATGAGTATAAACTAATTGGGCATGATGTGTTTGTTGTCTGTAGAATTCGGAAGAATGAAAGTGATGAAGACGCGGTTGTGAAGAAAAGAAAGAGAAAGTGCAACTCCAAAGAAGGAAAGGTTGAGAAGCATCTCTCCAAATGCTCAAGGGTTGAAGAGAACCCAGTGCATTCACAATTGCAATGTGTGGATGAGAATGAGGGTGAGGCTCAGTCTGAATGTGAAGCACCTTCACCACCGCAATTACTTGGAGAAGAAGTTACAGATGACGATTACTCTAGCTTTTTTGAAAATCTTATTCTCATACCACAGTCTGAGCATGAGGCAGAGGCAGAAGCAGAGGCTCATTCTGAATTACTTACTGAAGAGGTTAATGATGATATAACAGATGATGATTACTTTACCTTCCTTGAAAAGCAAGTTCTGATATCACAGTTTGAGAATGAGAATGGGCATGAGCATGAACCTGAGCCTCTATCGGTTGGAGTTGGAGGAGAGTTTATTCCTGAAATCAGAAATTTTTACTCTTCCAGTATTGGTGAGCTTTTTCCTGGAGAGAATTTTGCAGATTTATTATTGGAGAAGAGGGTTTTTCTGATACGACAGATTCCAAAAAATTAGATGGAAGAGCTGTTTGTTCTTGTGTTAGAATTAGCTATCATTTGCAATGTATACGTATAGTTATATCTGTTTCAGCTTCTCTAGAATTGTATTTTGTTTGGCAAAATTAATAAAAAAGATAATGTTGGTTTTGTTGTTACTTCAGTATAAACCCTAAAGCAATCAATAACTTTTATGTTTTGAATGAATGAACTCTAAAGTGTTGTTCTACAATTGTTAATGGAGTATTTCTGTTGTTTGGCTCATCTGTTCACGAAGTTATCATTCTTATCAGCATCTTGAATCTGATTAGTCTTTTTCAACTTGTGTTGCACACCACTAGTAAAAGGATCATCCAGCTCTTGAGAAGGCAAATAATACATTCTCCTATCAACTGCTGTCCAACAAAGAGGTGGCGGAACATAAAAGCATCTCTGGAGCAAAGGATGCTGCAAGGCCTCTGCAGCAGTTGGCCTCTTGCAAAGATCCCAGGAACAAAGTGATTCGATAAGGCTGACAGCTTCTTTACTCACCGAAGGTAGCAACACAGAGACATTCAAACCAGTTAACTCTGGAAATCGGTAGTTAATAGACCTCACTCGATAAAGTCCATCAGCCCAAAAATCCCCAGTAGAACTCTCCCTATCACACTGCATATATTGTACATTTCATCTCCCTCATTAGCCCCCGGAAAGAGACGTAAGTGTGAATAGCTCAACCATTATAGCTCCCATTGCCCACATATCAACTTTAGAGCTATAAAACTGTGAGTGAAGCAACACCTCCTGGGCTCGATACCAGCGCGTCGAGACATACTCAGTGTACAGTGGACATGAATCAATCTCCCTTACAAGACCAAAATCAGCAATCTTGATCACATATTTCAGAACAAGCAAGTTCTCAGGCTTCAGGTCCCGGTGGAAATATCCATTCTGGTATAAGTAATTCAGACCCTGGAAAACTTGAAAACACAACCTTCGAACTTCAGCTTCAGCTTCAGAGATTCTTTCTCTTTCATTAGTTCATAAAGGTTATCGTTGAAGTGAATGCTCGAAACTTCACCGTATTGGAGATTAGTGGAACGTTGTCGTTTGGGTCAGTTTTGAGTTGGATCTTGACTATAGATCCAACTTCAATCCAATGCCTGGAGATCACTCTACGGGTCAACGATATAAAAAGGAAGAAGAAATTTCAGTTCACCCCAATTTTCTCCTGCGAAGCATTCTCTGTAGTTGTTGTGTTCTCTGATTAGGGTTTGAAAAATTGATCGACTTCGGGAGCTGGAAGAAGAAGATGAAGGCTCTTCTTTCCCATAATAAAGTCGGCCTCGCGCTGGGAAAGAATCCCAAGAAGTGGTTTGAAGAGAAACTAAAGAAGAAGGAGAAGATTGACGAAGAAGCTTATAATCTGATCATGATGAACCTCTTAGACATCGTACTGAGGAAGGTTGATGGAATCGAAACCTCTTTAGGGTTGTGGGGTAAGCTCGAATCTCTATATGCTCTCCAATCTGCTCTCAACTTAGCTTTCCTTAAAGGTGCCCTATTTTCTTATAGGATGGACAACAATAAGACCATAGAGGAAAACTTAGACGAATTTTTGAAAATGACCCTCATTCTAAAGGGAACTGATCAAAAATTGGGGGAAACCAATATTGTCATGATATTACTAAATTCATTAAGAGTAATGCTAGAGTTACCGACGGTAGTACACCGAATTTGTGCACCGAATGACGTGACAAAATCCTGAACGTTGATTAATATTAAGTTAAAATTAATCAACGGTCAAGATTTTGTCACGTCATTCGGCGCACAAATTCGGTGCACTACCGTCGGTGGCTGTATTATTTTCTATTCATTAATAAAAGACTACCCAATAGTCAAGAATGCTTTGTAGTACTTTGATACTGTCCCTAGTTTTGACTTAATAGTAGTAAGACTTAAAGTTATGGAACTAGAATTGAAAGTATAGAAACAAAATGGTAGCAACTAGGGGTGGGACAAAAAATCTGAAAATCGAACCAAACCGAAACCAAACCAATTTTCGGTTTTTTTTTTTTTAAATCGGTTCGGTTCCGGTTTGGACAAAATAAAAAGCTGTCTAACCGGTTCGGTTTTCGGTTTAAGAGAATTCCCAAACCGGTTAACCGAAACCGAAATATAAAACCGGTTTTTAGGCTAGAAAGCCATAAGTATATATTCAATATAAAATTCTAAAATAGAGTTTTCATTTTACACTAAACGCTTCACCGCCACCACCCATCCATCCACCATCCCTACTGAATCAGTTAACCTTTCTCATCACCGTAACCTTTCTCTTCGGCGAACGACGACAACAGTGACCCCCACGATCGTCGATCACAACTCCACGAATGATCAGCGAACGATTCAGCAAGGTAAGTTGTGACCTGATTTGAATCTCTGATTTAGCCCATTTCTTCTTTTAATTCATTTGTTATGGGTGCTGTCAACTTATTGAGATTCATTTGAGCTGATCATGTTAATTAAAATAGAGCTTTTGTTTTGTTGGTTCTGAACTTCTGATGGCCATGCGTGTTTTTTTTTTTTTTTTTTTTTTTTTAAATCTGTGCGAGTATGGTTGCGGTGATCATGCGAAAGGTGTCATTTGTTATGATGTTATGTTGTGTGGGTATGAAAAAGGTAGAGAGTTGTTGCAAGAGGAGAGTTTAAAAAAGCATAGAAGATGTTTGATAAAAAGCCCGAATGTTTTTTTTTGCTACTGGTTTTTTCTAAGCATGGAAGATATCATTTGTTATGATGTTGTGTTGTGTCTAGATTCCTTTTAGAAGTGGAACATGTAAACTGCCTGTTGAAAAGTGATGTTAATTAATTGATTATATGCATGAAGAAGGAACTGATTATGTGAACGAGCTACCTACTTATGATGTATGCTGGTTTGATTAATTAGTTTAGTATGCTGATATATATTGTCATTGATGATTAAATGGTTTGTTTTGTGTGCAATTGTGAAGTTATCAACAATTTTGTATGCTGGTTTAATTAATTAGTTTAGTATGCTGATTTAATTAGTTTAACTTGAATTGTTGATAATTATAATGCTGAAATTTTGATCATTATTTCTTATTATTATAATGCTGAATTGTTGACATTATTTTGCTTTTGCTTCTTATTCAGCTGCAGGTTGAAAAAGTCTTCAGATATGAATGTTGAAGTTAGGGGCGTTTTAAGATTGTTGGAAGACTTTTTTTATTTTAGAGATCCAATTGTAATTTGCAAATGTTTTCACTTTTTATGCTAATGTTTTTATTAATGAGTAATCAGTAATGTATAATTTTTATTTCATATTCTGGATTCAGCATTTGAAAATAGATAATTTAATGTGTTTTTCACACAAAGAATAAAACAACAATACCCAAAAAAAAAAAAAAAAAAAGTACAAGAAATTACAGATATTTGAATTTTGGGATTGAGATGTAAAAAATGCAGAATTTAGGGTTGAATTGGAAAATCAGTTCAAAACCGGTTAACCGAATCGGATATTCGGTTCGGTTCAACTTCGGTTTATGCATATAACCTGTTCGGTTTTGGTTTAGCTTTTTGCTTGAACCGAATAACTGGTTCGGTTAGTCGAATTATCCCACCTCTAGTAGCAACCTATTTGTTAGGGGTAAACTTGAAACTAGCCAACTAGCAAAGTGAAACCAATTTAGTCAGGGGTTCAGAAACAAGAAAAAGGGTAAATGGAATAATAAACAAAAGTCTGAATCTAGAAAATGTTTCTTCTGTAACAAAACTGGTCACCTGAAAAAGAATTGTTTTGAGTGGCTTAAGAAACAAAAACATAGCAATACAAAGAGTAATCTTGCCTCCACTAAAAGCCTAGAAGAAGAACCAAAGGTCCTTACAGTGTCTATATCAAACAGTGCTAGAAAGTGGGTATTAGACTCAGGGTGCTCATTCCATATGAACCCAAACAGAGAATGGTTTCAGGATTTTGAAGACTATGAAAATGAGATCGTGTTTATGGGGAATAACCATGCTTGTAGAGTAAAAGGCATAGGTAGTATAACACTTAGGCTTAGAGGGGAGAAATTGATAAAACTGACTAAAGTTAGATTCATCCCTGAACTCAAGAGGAATCTTATCTCGTTAGGAACCTTAGATGAAACAGGTTGTTGCTATAGGGCTGAAAATGGGTGGCTAAATGTTTATAGAAACCAAACCTAATTTCGAAAGAGGAAAAAAGGAATGGGTTATATATCCTATATGGTGATTTCTGTTCAGATTGTTTCAATACTGCCTTAGTCTCCTTAAACCTATCAGTTACTAAAAAATGGCACCTTAGAATGGGCGATATGAGCCAGAAAGGGTTAAATATTCTGCGTAACTAGGGAATGTCTGGTAAAGAGTCTGTTTCCACCTTATAATTCTGTGAGAATTGTGTTTTAGGTAAGCAACATAGGGTGAGCTTCCCAAAGGGAACTCACCTAGCCACTAGCTGCCTTAAGTATCTCCATTTTGATTTGTGGATGAAAGAATTCATACTTAGAAAGGGTAAAATTGGTGTAAAACATGGTATAAGGTCATATGACATGTTATTGAAACTAAAAGGGTGAAATTGTTACCTTTTATGCTTTATAACTTTTGTAACTTGGAAAGGAGTTCAAGATCTTCAACAAATTTGATGAAAATCCTCAAAGTAAAGTCCACCCCAAGATGAAGAAGAGAGAGCCGACCATGAGAGCTCAAGACAGAGATTTTCAATCAAAATGAAAAATTAGATTAAATTTGGGAATAGCACTTATTTATATACAAGGACCATTTTGCAATAATTTGAAATTGTTCTCAAGTCCTTGAATTAATATGAATCCTATATATTAACACTTAATACAAATTTAATATTGTTTCAAGTCTTTGAACTAATTTCAATTTAATATCAACTCTTAATATTAAATCATTATTGATCCTAGGTCCTTGAAACAATTTCAATTTAATATTAATCCTTGATTTAAACAAATTTATAATCAAGGCATATAAAAT